CAATTCTTTGGTCATCTGTGTTATTGCTTTGCTCGATCCTGATGTTCTTCGGGATTTGTATAGCTCATGGTAATTCTTTTTTAATGTTCTGAATTCACCATCAACTTTTTCTTTGTTTTCCCTCAGCATTGCACATTGTGCTGAATGAAAATCAACGTCGACGCCCATCATAGCTTTATCTCGTCTCATTTGCTCTAATTCTTTCGACCAACCTTCTCTTTCTGCTTCAAACTCAGCTCTTAGGATTTCTATCTCTGATGGAACTACTCGAATGCGATCTTCCATAGAGATATCCTCATTTTGGTCTGGTAGAGGAATATTTTCATTTTTCCTGACAGACCTCCATCTCTCATAAAGTAAAAAGATCAAATCATACTTTATCATATGGATGACTCTGAATAATTTCTTTGATGTTGGTCCAAGCAATGCCTTCTCCTTCACCCTTTTGTTTCGTGCACCCATTCCTCTCGTACTCCTGCAATCTTTGCTAATTTAACTCGAAAAGGTTGAGTTTTAACTGACCTTGAATAAATTCGATTCTCCAAAGTCGCTTCTATATGTAGCAAAGTTGTGTACTCTTCAATAGTAGGAACCAAATCCTCCTTATTGAAAGTGAAGCGACATAGAGCAAATATGGGATGTCCCCGTAAAAACTGGTAGAACTGCAACTTTCTATTTGAATCCCAACTCTCCCAAATGCCTCGCAAATCTTGCATATCATTTCTTTTTAATGAAGACGGAGCATAACTTGCCAACTCGGGTACATAATCATCCTGCATACTGTCTCCCCCTTGTCTCTGTAAGTCCTCAGCCCACTGTCTTACTTCTGAGTTTGGAACTATTTGATTTGAACACTTTTTATCCATAGATGAAGGTTTTCTAATGAGACGATTAACTTGAAGATCGATACCATTTATCATGTATGATGCTATGCAACAACAAAAATAAAAGAACACAAAAAAATAAATGAATTAGTTCAAATAATTAAAAATGAAAAATTTAATTTAATAATATCTATCCAAATATTCTTATTTAAACATGCTTTCTACATAGCATACTTTAAATAATCTAAATTTATATGCAATTTATGTAGCAGGGAAATAAATAAATTAATTAAAAGGAAAAAGTTAGAATTCATTTCTCCTTCGTGTACACCTATTTTGGGACAAATTTCGGCATGGCTTCAGATCGGAAGAGTTTCTAAGGTTTACTATATGCAGAGTTTCAATTTTAAGAGTAAAGGTACCCGAATTGTCCTTGTTAGTGCCCCTTGGGCTGCCAACCCTCAATCCTAGTCCATCACATACTAAAGTGGATCGAGTTCAATTCGAGGGGATACACTTCTCTATGCCTGACACGAAGAATAAATTCTCACGAAGACATAGAACATATGAACCCTGAAAGCTACTTGCTAGGTCTGACACAAAGAATAAATTCTCACGAAGACGTCGCTTTCACTCCCACTTAAAAGGGACAAGCTTAATTATAAAGCTTATGTTGTGCAATGCACGTGTTGTGTGTGAGGAGAAATGTTCAAACCTCTGACAGACAAATAAATAAATAATGAATTTTAATACTCGAAAATAAAATAAAAACAGTGATAAAGAAGAATATATAAAATATTATGAAAATAATAAGTATATATATACAATTTTTGAAAGGAAAAAATTATAAATTAAATATAAGAATTTTTAATTTCTAATTAATAGAGATAATTTATAATTGATTTTAAAGCTTGACCAGTCCTCAGCGGAGTCACCAAGCTGTCTTAACCGGGTTTCGCCCGGGCACAAAATTTTTACTTTTACTTGGCGGGAAAATTTAAAATGAATAAATAAATGATTTTTATAAAATAATATTTTGGGAGTCGTCATTGACCTTTTTGGGTTAGGTAGGTCAAATACCTAAAAATAATCTTTTAAAATAGTTTTGAATAAAATATAATTTAAAAGATAAAACTGATCTGCTTATAACCAAAAATTTTAGTAAAAAAGGATTTGTGGTCGATTACGTTTAGGGAAGGATTAGTACCCCTATAACGCCCAAAATCGGTACTTTATTAATTATAAGTTGTCTCTATTATTAGAAATTTTTAAAAATTCAAAGATATATTTAATTTATAATCTTGTTATTTCAAATTTATAATTTTATGAAAATATATTAATAAGATATTTATTTATTTAAAAATATCAGAAAAGAGTTTCTAGGTGCTTTAAGACAGCTCTTTTCTTAACATTAAAAAATAAATAAATATTAAAATATTTATAAAAATAATTACACTATATAAAGTAAAATATTTATTTATTTAAAAATATTAGAAAATGGACATCTAGTTGCTTTAAGACTGTCCTTTCTTAATATTGATAAACATGCTTAAAATAATTTAAAAGTATTTTATATTAAATTTATAAATAGGATTTTGATAATAAATAAATAAATATTATTTATTATATATATATATATATATATATATATATATATATATATATATATATATATATATATATATATATATATATCTATATGACTAAGTAATAATAAAAAAATAATAACGAACATAATAATTTAAACATATATAAAAATAATAATGAAATAATATTGCAAATAACTAAAATATAAAAGAAATTAAAATTATAGAATTAAATTGTAAGATATATAAAACTTATGGTCAAAATTAAAATTATATAAAAGTCAATTATTAAATTATAAAACATAAACAATTAATGGCCATAATTATAAATATTATGTAGTATATACATTAAAAGTGTAATTTAACCCTAAATATTAATATGGGACTAAAATAAATTTTAATAAGTTTATAAGGGATTAATTATAATATTTACCTAAATTATTAGTTGGGATTAAAATAAATATTATTAAAAGTGTAAGGACTCAATACGTATTTTACCTTAATTATTTATATAAATATTCTGTCAGGACTAAAGTATAATAAAATAAAATTAAAAGACTAAATCAAAACATATAGGAATTGATTTCAGTGGCTAAAATAAAAATTTACAAAGTCATAGTGACTGCACGTGTGTTTTAACTATTTTGAAATTACACCCAGACCCCTCATCAAAACGACGCCATTTTGATGAGGGTATAAATACCCTGAAACCGGCCCTTTAGGCCAAATTTCTTTCATTTCTCTTTTTTCTTTCTCTCTCTAGACGAGAGAAAAAAAATTTCTCTCAACTCTCTCTTCAAACCTCCAAACGGAGATTGGCCGACCACCGGTCGATAGCCGTACTCCGGCACCGATACCACCGCTGACCACCACCCACGGTGGCCGAAATATGCAAAAATACCCCAATCTTAAAGATCTCACTACCACGAACCCGAATTTGTTCTCCTTTTATCCTAAAAACCTTAGATTTTCTTAGATCTAAGAAAATACCTTCGGTATTTTTGGTTCTTCGGCAAGGTGTGAAGGCTCCGATGATCGCGTATTCCTATCGGTAAGCTTCTCTCCTTTTTCTTTCTTTCTATTTTGTGGATTTGGTGGTTGCTGTGTTGTTTTTCTCTGGCTTGCTTCCTCTCTATCCTTTGTTGGCAGGGGGCTCGGTGGCTTTTATAGCCACCATTGACACCTGTCTCGGACCGGGTAAAAGATTGAAGCTTGGTGAGTCACCGAACTTGTGGTGACTCACCGAAGAACGACGACGAGTGTGCGGCTGGTAACGTTTCTGGAGTCCTGGTTTGGGTGTCGTGGCAGCGTGGTAACAGAGGTTGAGGCGGTGGCTGTGACTGGCTGACGAACGGCGACCGCGTGGCCCTAGGGTATCATAACCCTAGGGTTTCATGTTGGGATCATCTGGACCGTTGGATCAAGGTCTGATCCAACGGCTGGCAAGGAGAGCGATGGCTGGGATGGGAGGATACAAACCCTAATTAGTTTAGGGTTTTTATTAGGCTCTGGGTTTTGTAATTGGGTCATGTAATTTGGGCTTGTTTGTAAATAATATTTTATTAATAATAATAATATATAATAATATAAATAATAATCAAATGAAAAAAACGAGTATCTTCATTTATTAATGTACCAAAGCATTAAGATAGCGGGATTTAACTATCCATGGACCAAAATAAGACCGAAAATAAAGTGATTAAAATATAACATTTTTAAAACCGATGACTAAAATAAAATAAATAGAAAGAAAAAAGTATTGTCAGTGTAGTTCACCCTTTTGGAGAATACACATGAGTCAAAGTTCAAGTATCTTTTAATCGTCAACTTCAACCTCCTACAGGAAGAAACATGGAAGTATCGCTTATTTTTACCGGTGACTGGCTTGCAATATCCTTATGTTCCATCGTCAAAAACCGAAGACTTAATACAAAAATAAGTGTGCGAATTATGTTTCGAAAAACATTTTAGTATTTAAAGAATTTTTCGTTAAAAATATGTCTAATGTTTTAAACGTTGTATTTTTAGGTGTCCGGATGTTAATCGCTGTTAAAAATATCGTTAAGTGACACATATCACATTCTGAAAATTTTGATAATTTATTTATAAAATTAAAAAAATAAAAATATTTTTATGAAAAAACCCCAAAACAGCAGCAACCCGTTGGTGCTCCTTCCCCTCTCCCCCTCTCCCCCTTCCTCTTTCCTCTTTCCATAGCCGTTGGCCGGCCAGAGGTGATCGTCACCGTTATCAGCATCGGCGTCGACCCCCGAATAAACCTCCGTTAACCTTCCATCGTATTATGTAAAAGCTTAAGGATCAATATAGAATGAGTGGGAGAGTTTGAGGGCAAATGATGAAATTGACTCTAAAAAGTAATAAAAGTTGAATTGTATATATCATTGTTCTTTTTCTAATATACTTAATTACTTCGGAATTTGATTTTATATCAATTATATTATGGTGTTCATGAATATATTCAATCGCTTCCGAATTTGAAGAAATCAAATTGAGACCAACTCTCCATATGATTTTCTTTTTTACCGTTTCTAAAGCAGTATGCGTACAGGAATTTCTAAACCCAAAAAAAAAACATTATTCTAAATTTCTTACAATTAATTCTGGAAACACTATCGAGGATATAGATCAGTAATGGAAGCTTCATTCTTGGACAATGGTAGTTCTTCACTTTTAGATTGGTACGATTCGGACACTATCGAAGACGACATGTCCGAACCGATGCCGGAGTGCATGAAAAAAGCGGGTTGGGAAGGCATGGGAAGGGTGACTGAAAAACTATCAAGCATCAGAATGACTGTAGCCATGGTTGGTCTGTCTGCTACGTTTTCTTGAACACAGAGTAATCCGATGTGGATGCATCTCATCATTTCATTCCTCGAACCGTCTCGCAGTGTCGGATCGATCAGATTCATTGCCGTCCCTTGTCTCCAATGTTTCCATGCCTGCAACAAATATGGATTTCGATGAGCTCCAGTTTCGATTTTTCGACACCTGCTGTAGCTTTAGATGATCGTACTTACAGAGCTTATTAGGTCCTCCACAGTTTCACCATGTTGGAAGCAATTGTTTTTCTGACCACTTACGATCTCCAAAACTATCACACCAAAACTGAAAACGTCCGATTTTACGGAGAATTGGCCGTGCATGGCATATTCCGGTGCCATGTATCCACTACATTTTAACAGTCCGAATGTCATACTCGAATCCGATGAACATTTCTATTGTATAGAGATGCAATATACGCATACAAGAAACGATGTTCCAAGTTTTTGATTCTTACTAGGTTCCCACAACTCTGCTGGTGTTGCCTTGCGTTTCGTCCCGTACAAACAACCTTGCCATTCCGAAATCTGCAATTTTCGGAATCATCTCTGCATCTAACAGAACATTGCTCGCTTTAAGGTCCCGGTGAATTATCCTCAGTCGAGAATCTTCGTGAAGGTAAAGGAGGCCACGAGCGACACCTCCGATGATTTTGTAGCGATGATCCCAATCCAGCTGCGCTCGCTTGACTCGATCTATATATGTTAGACGGTAACACACAAGTCTCAGAACAATCTACACGTATGTATATATATTAGAGATAGTAGGACGGAATCGGTACCGAATAAGAAATGATCAAGGCTGGTGTTGGGCATAAACTCATAAGCGAGAAGCCTTTCACATCCTTCCAAGCAGAATCCAAGGAGCCTAACCAAATTGCGGTGTTGAAGCTTGGCCACTAACAGGACTTCATTCTTGAATTCCAAGTCTCCTTGTCCAGAATCGTTTGATAGTCTTTTGACGGCAACCTCTTGTCCATCCGGAAGTAGACCCTGGAAGTATTTCGAATTTTAGTTCAAGACTCCCAAAACGGATCATCATTCTTTCCGATGAGATGTTTACCTTATAAACAGCTCCGAATCCACCTTGGCCGAGCTTATTTGCATCGGAAAAGTTATTGGTTGCGGTCCGGACAGTGGCGAAGTCAAGTTGCAGGGAGCCGGTCCTAATGACCGAATCATCATCAGCAGCAAGAAGCAAAAATGGTGATAATAAGGGTTGTGTTCTTCGGGTCTTGCTGGTCCTCCTCCAAATGCAGATGGAAGCGACTAGTAGTACTATGATTCCGACAACTGAAGCAACAACAACGGTGATAATAAGGGTTGTGTTGTTTCCGTTTCCTGCAACATTAATTAGTCTCCAATCAGGATAAGAATTCTAGCTAAACTTTTAGTAGAAAATAAATTAACCAATCATTTATTGGTCACTATGACAGAGACATGTATTTATGATCATTGTGCCATTGGCACTTTTTATCCTTAAATGAAATATTATTAACTAAAATGCTCTAAAAAAATAAAAAATAAATAACCATTTTAAGAAATGTTAAAGATTAATTTTAACATTATGAAAAAAACAAATATTCCAAATGGATTAGTTAAAAGCATGGTAAAGACACAAATTTCTTTTTTTCAGATTTTTTTAAAATTTTAAAATTGATATTAAAAATATTAATCCTATATGTAAATCTGACTTGGATTCATCCTGCTTCTGAACATCTCTATTTTTCCTTGCTGTATTTTTTAAGGATAAAATATGCATTTAGAACCTAAACAATAAGTTTTGATCATTTTTAGTACCTAAACTTCTAATTTTTTTTCAAAGTTTAACGTTAAATTTTGAATACTAAAATGAAACAAAAACTAGATTTTAGATATGATGTTAAATTTTGAATACTAAAATGAAACAAAAACTAGATTTTAGATATGATTTTGAAATCATTAAAAGTTTAGATACTTAACCAGACTAAAACTGATAGTTTAGATACTAAACGCGTAATTTACCCTAATTTTAACCGTCTTTCAATTTAAATGGAGGAGACACTTTACCTCCGGTAGAGGGGGGAGGGGGAGTAGCAGACGGAGGAGGTGACGGTAGCGGAATTGGTGTCTGATAAAACGGGTAAGACTCATACCTCAAGAAACAGCTTGGTCTGAGAATTCGGCATCCCCTTTTTCCCAAACAACAACTTCCAATCCCATTCTTAGCCACACTTAAACAATCGCCACATTCTTGCTCGGACAAATCCGGACTGCACTGCACCAGAGCGTATACTATTTGAAAGAAGCCCACCGACGAGCTATCCGCCGCATACTTCCGGAGAGGACCCGCCGAGGTGGCTCGGCTGCTCAGGTTATTCAACAGGTTATCCAACGCCGCATTGAACTGATCGGCATTCGTCACGTCCCGAGTGTTAAATAGACAAGAGTCGGGAGATGTTTCCATTTCTCCAAATAAGTTTCGGTTGGCGTAGCGCAGCGTACAAAATTCAGACCATCCGACCGCCTCCTTGTACGACGGACACTGTTGCCCGAGCTCCGATATGGTTTCGTTGAGACAAGTGTTGCAATCGTCTTGGTTTCTGTCTCCCCTGCAGAGTGCAACGGCGTTAACACGGTCGGAGTTCTGACCAGCCGACAGATTATAGAAGCCATAATTGAAATCTGTCTGAGAAGTGAGCCGAGAGAAGACGGTGTTGAGGTTGGACCTGTAGGTGCTGTTTGCTGTGTAGTTTCCGGCCGTGTTCACACAACGGGATTGGAAGAAGGGATCGGCTCCAAGGCTGAGATTAGCAACGAATAACGGGAGAATAGAATAAAAAAGGAATAGCAGTCTTGAAGATCCCATATGAACAGAACCAAATTGATTGATCTTCAAATACTAGACCTTTTTTCCCCCAATAAAAAGCTAAACTTTAGGTAATGATCTTCAAATACTGGGTATCCATCTTCTTCTTCAAGTTTTATTAGTCATCAAATCAGACTTTTTTCTTCCAATAGAAAGCTAAACTTTAGGTAATGGAAAATGATTTTTTTTTACTATATAAAAGTGGGAATTGGAATTATTATTATTTTATCAGGGATGGGCTGTTGAAGATGATAGTTGTTGATGACCATTAACAAAGAAATGAAATTTCTTAAGGGCCTTCGTAGTTCACACGCTATGATTAGGGGAGCAAAACTTGTGTAGACTCAAAAAATTAATTTTTTTATTTAATTCGATTCAAAAAAACTATATTCGAATTAACTCGAAAAAAATTCTAACTTGATTCGAAAAATTTCAAATTCAAATCGAATTGTAAAATGAAACTCGAATTACTCAAAAAATTTAATAATTAGTGGATTTATTTTCAAGTTTGAGTCTAATTCTTAGTCTTTGTATGATATATATATATTACGTATGAAAAAAATATAAATAAATACATTGGTATTATATATATGATTACATAAAGTAACTTAAATTGAAATTAAATAATATTATAATATTATAAATATTTACAATTATATTTAAACAGAAACTTAAAAAAATCGACTCGAATTTTATAAACTCAACTTAAAATTTTTTTAAATCAAATTTGAGCTATAAAATAAGATTCATAAACTCATATAACTCAAAAAATTTAACTAAATTCGAATCGACTTATCAAACGCTGACAGCTAACTCTGACTATTATCAATGAAACATTCAGAACTTAATCATATAAGAAACAGTAATAGATTGGGATGGGAGTGCTGGGTATGAATATAATAAAACAACAATAATTATTTATAATTCCCTTTAGCTAAAAAAAATACTAAATATATGCTATTTTTTTCTTCTGTCATTTAAATTATTATTATTTTTTTGACAAAAAGGTACTTTTATTCTATAATAAACTTAATTTATTATTTTTACTATTATCTTGTTTTTACATTTATTTAGCTCTCGAAGTTATTCAATTGCATCATTTTATACTATACTCTAAATTAAAATCTTAAATTATAAAGCTTGAACACTAAATCACACCCTCATAACCTATGAACCATAAATCTTAAATCATAAATCATAACTTAAGGTTTTAAGTCAGGAGTAAGATATATAATGATGCAATTGAGTAACTTTGCGGGCTAAATTGATGCGAAAACACGATATAGATAAAAATGATAAATTAAATTTACTACAAGAGCAAAAGTGACTCTTAAATCTTTTTATTTATCAAACTAGGTATTTAAACTATTATATGTAATCATTTTAAGTATCTCAATCATTTTTGGTCAAAGTAAGTCCCTAGATTATGCTCCTTTTTTGTTTTAAGCCACTAAAATATTTTTAGTCAAAATAAGTACCTAATTTTATATGACATATTAACATCTTATTGATCGATAATTAATTTTTTGAGTGAAAAAAATATTAGGACTTGAAATAATTAAATATAATAATTTAAGTATTTAATTTAACCAAAATTAATTTAAATACCTAAAATAAGAATACAACATAATTTAGGTATTTATTTTTACTTTAATCATTTATAATTTCTTGTGGAAAATATAATGGCGTGCAAAATCAATCACAGCAGGTCAAACAAGGTTTATAACATATATTTTTCTTAAGTTCTATCCGTCCTTATTATATATGTTGATATACAAAAACACCTACTCTTTTTATCTTATTAAATATTTTTATTATTGATTTTTTAAAAGTTAAAATTTTTAAATTTTGACTATAATTATTTTAAATATTATAAATAATTAAATTTTATAAAATATATATTTAAAAATACTTGATTTAAGATTTTTAAATATGTATTTTTCATATTTTTATCAATAATAAATTTTAAATAAAATAATAGATCAAACTTAAAAAAATTGGCAAAAAAAGTCAACGGTAAATAAACTTAATAGATTGGAGGAAATATTATTAAATAGATTAGAGTAAATATAATTAAATAAACTTCGAACATATAATGATTATTGATGTTTTGAACTGATGAAAACAGGCATGTTAATTTCTTATATGAAAAAGTCATATTAATTTCCAGATTGCTACATAGAGATCATGTGATGCTACGAGGACGTTGCTTACATATAATATACGATTCATGTCCAACAAAAGCCTTGTCATGTAGCGGTGTTTATTGTTTAGTTTAAATTGAATTAATTGATATAATGGAAATTTAGTTTGACTAATCGATCAATTAATGGTTAAGATTTTTTTAAGTTCAATTATCGATTAATTTAGTTCAAAATCGGTTAATTAATCAAATTAATTGAAAATATTTAATATTTAATATATATTACATATATATTTTAAGTTCAAACTTGTTAGTTAATAATGTTCGTAGTGCATTGAGTGTGTGTGAAGTTAACAACGTTCATAGTGCATTGCATGAGTGTGAGGGTTTAGTTACAAGTTGCAGAGAGTTTTCTGTTACAAAATGGTTCATGTTATTATACAAGTTGATGCAATTTGTTATGGCTATTAGCTAGGTGATTAGGAGTTATAAAAGGCAATATACACTATGTGTAATTTGAGCTTAATGAAATACATTTTTCTTTTACTCTAAAAGTTGGTTATTCATCATGGTATCATTCGCTTTCCATTCCTGAGGTTCGTTTTCTTTGTTGCGTCGTCTTCTTGGAAGAGATGGACTCTCCGTCTGGTAAATCCTTCACAAACAAAAAAATGAATATCATTCTTGATGGGTCTAATTTCTTACCCTGGAAACAACAAGTTTTACTTAATGTTCGTAGTCACCGGCTTGAGCCCGTATTAACGGGTTCAGTGCCAACTTTGTGGCAAGAATGGACACTTGGTGGTTGATTGTTGGTATCGTTTGGATCAGACCTTTTATGGTAGGTCTTTTGGCACTAGTAGTGTCAACTAGTCCAGTCTTGAAGCAGTATCAGTAGGTGGTGGGCGTGTTCCTGTTGTGCTAAAGGTCATGCTGAAGCTCATGTTACTACGACTCATCGTGATCAATGGGTGGTTGACTCTGGGGTAACTCACCACGTGACACCCGATGCATCTTCCATTGGTCATAAGAGTGACTTCTCTGGTCTAAGTAAATTAGTTGTTGGTAACGGTGTATCACTTCCTATTCGTGGTACTGGTAATTCTATTTTATGCTCCAATTCACGAGCTTTGCTGCTAAATGATTTATTGCATGTTCCTAATATAACAAAAAATTTGTTTTTGGTGTTAAAGATTGTTAGGGATAATGGTGTCTATTTTGAGTTTTGTGATGTGGGGTGTTGTGTTCGAGATGAAAAGCCTGGTGAAGTTTTGTTGTAAGGAGAAGAACGAGATGGTCTTTACTCTTTTCAAGTGGATACTACTACTAGTTGTAGTAGTCAAGAAGAAGTACATTATGTAGTTGCTTCGTATAAATTGCATAATCTTTGGCATAGACGCCTAGGGCATCCTGCACATGGGACCCTAGAGCAAGTTTGCAAATTACTTAAGTTCTATCCGTCCTTATTATATATGTTTATATACAAAAACGCCTACTCTTTTTATCTTATTAAATATTTTTATTACTGATTTTTTAAAAGTTAAAATTTTTAAATTTTGACTATAATTATTTTAAATATTATAAATAATTAAATTTTATAAAATATATTTTTAAAAATACTTGATTTGAGATTTTTAAAATATGTATTTTTCATATTTTTATCAATAATAAATTTTAAATAATAATAAATCAAACTTAAAAAATGGACAAAAAAGTCAACGGTAGATAAACTTAATAGATTGGAGGAAATATTATTAAATAGATTAGAGGAAATATTATTAAATAAACTTCGAACATATAATGAAAGATATTGAAAATATTAGTAAATATTATTAAATATTAGTAAATATTATTAAAGTTCAATTATCAATTAATTTAATTCGAAATCGGTTAATTAATCGAATTAACTGAAAATATTATGTTGAGTTAATCGATCGACGAAATCGGCCAAGAGGGGGGTGAATTGGCAATTAAAATTTTGGTGGAAGCTTTTGCAGAAAATTGAAAGTAATTGCACAACGATTTAGAGTGGTTCGACTTTCTCAATCAAAGTCTACGTCCACAACCTTAGTTATCCACACTAAGGGTTTTCCAACAAATTCACTAATTTGTTCTTTCTTTTGAGGCCAAAGAGATAACCTTACAACTCCCTCAAGAATATACCCCAATTCTTGAGAACACTCTTTCTCAAAGAGAAGATTACAAATTTGCAAACTTAGAAGGAAATCCTCACAAGATATATTGTTTGCACAATTTTAGAACAAAGAAAAGAACACTAAAAAATGAATACAATTGAGTACAAGTAGTGTTCTTGAAAGCAAAATGAATATTGAATGAAAAATAGGCTTGAAATGCTCAAACTTGAGGTTTGATGCTTTCTCTTCGATTTTCTCTTGATTCTTGTTAATTGTTGTTTCTTCTTTTTTGATCAATAGCTTCTAAGCTTGTTTAAATACTCCTTCAAATGATTCTGAACGTTGGGGATGCTTAGTGGAGTCAATAGAGCCGTTTAAGTGTGAAAACAATTAATTAAAGCAGTTAGGAGCGTCAATGTATCGATGCATACCCATGGTGCATCAGTGTAAAGTTCAAATATTTTGACCGTTGGACCCTTAGTGCATCGGTGCACTAAGAGTGTATCGATGCATAAAATGCATTCGATGTTTCAAAATAGCCAGAGTGCATCGATGCATGGTTTGTGCATCGATGCATCAAATGCACTGAGTGCATCGATGCATAAAATGCATTCGATGTTCAATTTAATCCATGGTGCATCGATGCATGGATTGGTGCATCACTTTGAAAAATTGATTTTAGGCTTGATTTTGGTTCAAAATACTTTGTGAAAATTGTTTCAAAAATAGTTTAAGTACAAAACATAATTTTACATATTTAGTAAGGTTTGAA